GAGAAACTCCTAAAAGTCCTGCGAGAGAATAGCCAAGCAATTGGTTGGACTTTGGCAGACTTGAAGGGGCTAAGTCCTACACTTTGCAGCCATAAAATAAGCCTAGAACCTGATGCCATACCTAAAGTAGAACACCCTAGAAGGCTTAATCCACCTATGTTAGAGGTCGTTCAAGAAGAGATCCTTAAGTGGCTTGAACATGATGTTATCTACCCTATAGCAAACAGCCCTTGGGTAAGTCCAATCCACATAGTCCCTAAGAAAGGAGGAGCCACCGTGACTGTTAATGAATTAGGTGAGACCATCACTGTTAGGAAACCCAATAAGTGGAGGGTATGTATTGACCATTTTCCTCTTCCTTTCATGGATCAGATGTTAGAGAGACTTTCTGGAAAGTCTCATTATTGTTTCTTAGATGGGTACTCCGGTTACATCCAAGTACCTATAGCCCCCGAAGACCAAGAAAAAACAACTTTTACATGCCCGATAGGTACCTTTGCCTTTAAGAGAATGCCGTTTGGTCTTTGTAATGCTCCCGCTACCTTTCAAAGGTGTATGATGAGCATTTTTTCTGAATTTTCCACCAAGATTGTTGAGATTTTCATGGATGACTTTTCAGTGTATGGAAATAGCTTTGACCAATGCCTTCAAAACTTGGATCTGGTTCTTAAACGCTGCATTGAGTCAAATCTAGTTCTTAACTACGAAAAATGTCACTTCATGGTGGAAAAGGGGGTAGTTCTAGGACACATAGTCTCTGCACAGGGCTTAGAAGTTGATCCCGCTAAGGTAGACCTTATTAAGACCCTTCCTTATCCCAAAAACCTTAAGGACATTCGATCTTTTTTAGGACATGCAGGGTTTTATAGGCGGTTTATTCAAGATTTTTCTAAGATTGCTCTTCCGTTAACTGCTTTACTTTCTAAAGATGTGCCTTTTCTGTTTGATGATGCATGTAAACTTGCTTTTGTTGCTTTGAAGGATAAATTGTGCTCTACTCCTATTGTTCAAGCTCCTAATTGGGATTTACCTTTTGAATTGATGTGTGACGCTAGCGATAGAGCCGTAGGAGCTGTTTTAGGACAGAAGTTAGGCACTGCCTCTTATGTAATCCAGTATGCTAGTTGTACCCTTGACCCTGCCCAAGTCAATTACACAGTTACTGAGAAGGAAATGTATG